AAATATGAAAATTATCATCAATTTCATTATTAGTGTTATGTAAATAATTTTAATCAGATAATTATTTAAATAAAAATTAATTTTTATTTTTTTAATATTAATTAAAATAAAAAATATGATGATTACATCTTTAAATTGTACCATTAAAAAAACCCCAAAAAAGTTGTCCATATCAACATTTAATTTTTGGAAGAATGAAATTGGTAATAAAAATTTAAGTTTAAAGATCACTTTAGTACTTTTTGAAGTTCAATGACACTTTTGGTACAAACGTGAAAGTTGAAGTACTAAACTGGTATTTTAAACATCCAAAATCATATAAAATCTTAAACCCTAGTCTTTACCAACGTCTTTATCTCTGAAGAACTAGTCTCCATTTTACTCTCCTCTTCCTTGCTGTTGCACAACTCCGTACCGAGGAAGTGAGTTTGTATCATAATTTAGATACGGCCAATTGATAGTCTTTTCCTCCGTTTTTCTGCACCTTTTGTGGAGCCTCTTTAATGGCTCTATATCTGTTGTACGAATCGGCATTTGGTTATGCCCTGTTCCAGGTTTATAGGCTCGATGAAATAGGGCAAAACACTGAGGCCGTTCGGAACTCTGTATCTGACCTGAACCATTTTGGTAAAGTGGTTCAACTCACCGCTTTTCACCCATTTGAGTCGGCTCTGGATGCTCTCAACCAATGCAACTCTGTGTCTAAAGGTGATAAAGTTAACTCCTTTGATTTTTGATTTTTAACACCCAAGGAGTTTGTTTCCATTCACTTTGTAACATTGCATGTCCTGGAAAAAGGGGTTAAGCAAGTCGAATAGCTTTCTGCAACTAAGATGGTTAGAAGGTCTAATGTAGAAGAAGTATATTTATTTTTCAATATCTTACGTGGTGTTTCTTGGAGCTATTGTGCTGATATTTCAGGTGGGGAGTTATATCTTGTGTGTCTTCTTGGCTTTCAGGATTAGGATTGCCTGCAGTATTTCCTCAAATAAGTCTTGGTTTATTCACTTGTAGCTCGTGAAACTATTAACTACTAAATTGTTTCCTAGTCCACCTTGATTATTTCAGGAAGTTAGTTGCAGCTTCAGGTAATTTTATTTTCGAGGTCATCCTTACCGTTTGTGTAATCTGCAGTATTTTTACATCATTCGCCAACTCTTCACCTCATAAACTTGAATATCTAATCCAGTTAAAGTTGGTCCAACAGTGTCTATATTTTTTCAGCTCTCAACTTGCCTCCTAAGATGTAGTTAACTTCTAGATTCCCGTATTCTTTACCTTTCTCGTGTCAATCATTACATCCTCTTGTAATTTCTTGTTGTAATGCCTAAATTTTGTTACCAACGAAGCCTGTCCTATATAATTAACAACTGATGTTTTTATAATTTTTAGTTGTTCTCATGTGTAATTTGTAACAACCAAACCGAGCAATTTTTTCAGGATTTACGGTAGGAATTCCTTCTTACTTAGGAACTAAAATTGATGGTTGACTGTTGGCAAACTTTTATTTTGGTTCCTAGGGTTGATGACTGATGAGTTGAGGAGCTTTCTGGAGTTGAATCTCTCGAAAGTCAAGGAAGGAAAGAAGCCCAAATTTAGTGTGGGAGTTGCAGAGCCTAAGCTTGGTTCCCACATCTTTGAGGCTACCAAAATCCATGCCAGAGTAATGATTTTGTTCTTGAGCTTCTTCGTGGTGTGAGGCTGCATTTTTATCGATTTATGAAGGACCTAAAGGTTTGCATATTTCTTTACATTAGCACCTTTTCCCCTCATCAGGAAGAGAAGAGCACACTTTCTCATTTTCTTCTTGTCCTTTCCTTTTAAATTTTGTAGCTTGGAGACTTGGAAAAAGCCCAGCTTGGTTTGGGACACAGTTACAGTAGAGCAAAGGTGAAGTTCAATGTTAACCGCATTGACAATATGGTTATCCAAGGAATTTTCCTTCTTGACACCTTTGACAAGGATATCAATTCTTTCTCTATGAGAGTGAGGTTTGTTATTGCTCTAACTATCACAATCTATCTTTTCTTTGCAGTACTTTTTCTTTTGTGTAATTGTTCCCTTCTGATGTCTTTATGCAGAGAATGGTACTCTTGGCATTTCCCAGAGTTAGTGAAGATTGTAAATGACAACTATCTCTATGCTAGAGTTGCTAAACTAATCGAGGACAAATCAAAGTTGTCTGAGGAGCACATTCCTGCCTTGACTGATATACTAAGAGATGAGGGTAAGGCAAAGTAGGTTGTGGAAGCTGGCAAAGTAGGTTGTGGAAGCTTGCAAAGCATCAATGGTTAGGTTTGCTATATTTATTTATTCATTTGGTACATATGATGATGGAGTCTTATGTTATACTTATGATTTTGATGATGACAAAACACTTTGATCATGAAAGCATATGTACTTCAATATTAACCTCAAAATTTCAGCTCCAAGAAAATGACATTAAGACATTCCAAAAAATTATGAGAATTCAGCATACTTTTTCCCCCTTTTTGTCATTCATCAAAAAGTATATAAATATAAGCAATAAACTCCCCCTTAATTCATGTTATCAATCATTAAAGCATCAAGAATATGTAATGAATATAATCATCAATCATCATCAATATAGCACCATAGACAACCAAAGTCATGAATACAATCATCAACCAATAAACTCCCCCTCAATAAGAGCATATAATCACCAAAATCATAAACAATCAATACCAAAAGTCATGCCAATATCAACACAAGTCATATCACAAAAATTATATCATACCAAAGTCAATTGCCATGAGATTTCATAATACATGATAAAAGGTTCAAGATAAAGAAAAACATAGATAAACTTAACATGCATAAGCCTAAGATGTCCGTCCTAAAAATTAGCTAAACTAAAGAAATATCAAGTTAGGTGGCACTAGGTGGGGGTAGAGGAAAAAAATGATTAACAAGCTGATCCATCTTTCCATCCATGGTATCCATTCTCCCTCTCATTTTTCTCCGGAAACCATAAAAGTCGGTGGGCAACTGCCGCATCTCAGATATCATTAGCTCCATGGTTTTGCAGTTTGTCCTTTGCATGGAGGCTTGAAAGGGTCTTAGGCTATCACCTCCATGTTCTTCTTCCCTTTGTTCTGCCATTTCTTGATCTGTATCACCTTCTTCATTATCTTGCTGTTCCATTGCTTGATCCCCTTTTTTCTTCCAACTACCATTTTGAAACACAACTTGCATTTTTTCAAAGGATGCTTTAGTGAGAGTGGTCCCAGCTTTAATTCTTCCATGCTTAAAAGATTTAAGATCAATGTTGTTCCTTTTTACTAGCTTAATAATGAATGCACCATGCAGAAGACCTATATCAGAGGAGTAATTCTTGATTAAACTCCGAAAAATGAATCTTTCAAGATTCACCCTTTTTTCGTTAGGAAGATAGTCGAACCAGGAAAGATCACTAGCAAGTACAAAAGATTTTGACCTCTTTCTTTGAGCAATAATGCGAGATACAATCCACTGTAGTACTTTATTTTTTGGTGTAAGTACTCTATTTTTTGGTGTAAGGGACCTCACTTTAATTTGATTTTCAGTGCAATTGGAGGCAATTCTAGCTCTAACTAAGGCATGATTTACATCCTAAAACTCATCATCTCCTCCTTCAGGTATATCTAATACAACACAAATATCCTTTGGTGAAAACTGAAATGACATCCCAACAACCATGGTTTTGCATTTATTCCCTTTCGGTTTCAAATTAGCATAAAATTGATAAACAACTTCATAGTACACAGGCTCTTTAATTTCTACATAATCCTTCCACCCAAGTTCCCTAAAAGTCTCTTCTACAAGCATATTCCCTTGAGGAAACTGACTAAACTTCACATTGGTGCATGGTAACACAGTCAAATTTTTGACAAAATTGTATTGATTAAAGGCATTATCATCCCAAAATAGAGAAGTATTATAAAGGGTATCTTCCTCCTGAGCCTGTCCAGTTCTAGTGCTGGAGGACAAGCTCAAGAGGAAGGTACCCTTTATAATACTTCTCTATTTTGGGATGATAATGCCTTCAATCAATACAATTTTGTCAAAATTTTGGCTGTGTTACCATGCAACAATGTGAAGTTTAGTCAATTTCCTCAAGGGAATATACATGTAGAAGAGACTTTTAGGGAACTTGGGTGAAAGGATTATGTAGAAATTAAAGAGCCTGTGTACTATGAAATTGTTCATCAATTTTATGCTAATTTGAAACCAAAAGGGAATAAATGCAAAACCATGGTTGCTGGGATGTCATTTCAGTTTTCACCAAGGCATATTTGTGCTGTATTAGATATACCTGAAGGAGGAGATGATGAGTTTCAGGATGTAAATCATGCCTTAGTTAGAGCCAGAATTGCCCCCAATTGCACTGAAAATCAAATTAAAGTGGGGTCCCTTACACCAGAAAATAAAGCACTACAATGGATTGTATCTCGCATTATTGTTCAGAGAAAGGGGTCAAAATCTTTTGTACTTGCTAGTGATCTTCCCTGGTTCGACTATCTTCTTAACGGAAAAATGGTGAATCTTGAAAGATTCATTTTCCGGAGCTTAATCAAGAATTACTCTTTTGATATGGGTCTTCCGCATAGTGCATTGATTACTAGGCTAGTAAAAAGGAACAACATTGATCTTCACTACAAGCAAATGTACCTATACTGATGGAAGTTTTCCGTCTGTATAAACCCTTTTTCCGTCTGTATAGACCCCAAAAACTATTCCGACGGACAAACTTTCCGTGGGTAGAAACCTCGTCAGTATAGGGTCTATACCAACGCCCAATTCGTCTGTATAGACCCTTGGGATCTATTCCGATGGAAAAAACTTCCGTTGGTATAGACCCTGAAAAATTTTTTAAAATTTGCCGTGGGTATGGACCCCTACCTTTATAGATGAACAATTCCATTGGTATAGATCCTTTTTTTAAAAAAAAAAAATTGATAATTTACTTTTGTTTTATCATTTTCTCCTGCACTTATTACTAATGCCATTTTTCTGACCTACTAAATCAATCCCTCCAAAGCACACAACCATTTGCACAAATCAATCCCTCCAAAGCACTAATTAATCCCTAACCATTTGCACACAAACAGGAAAGAAAAAAACACAATTTTGAAATTTCCTAACCATTTGGACGAATCAATCCCTCCAAAGCACACAACCAATCCCACCAAAGCACACAACCGCTCAAGCTAAGCTAGTCTATGCAGATCAAACTATTCAACACAATAAAAAAGGCCATAAAAATTAAAAAAAAAAATCAGTTAATTGATGCACTAAATTAGCAATCATAAAAGAGGAATTCCATAGATATAAATCAATCTCAAAACAACAGGATCTAAGCGAAAATAGAAATTGCAAAATCCAAAGAAGTTCAATTAAATGCCTAGTGGCAGAAATTACAGACCCAAGAAGAGATACAAACATGCCTTTCAATCCCTTTGCCCATTGTTTTCTTCATTACTTTCATTTTGGCAAGACATAAGGTGTTGGCTTGAAGGTGAAGAGGAACGATTAATTGGGGAAAAACCTTGCCCACTATTAGCATCCACAACCTACAATTCAGTAGAAAGAAATTCAGGGGTAACCAAAGAAATGATATATCATATGCAAACCTCACAAGTTTCAGCTCAATCAAATAGAACTTAATATTATAAAATATATATACATTGAGACCTTTTAAATCTTGTAATTAGTTTCTATTTACCAATTACGTTTCATCAACCATGACATATCATTTAAGCCGACAATGTTCATGAAATCTGACAAAGCAATAATCTAGAGGAATGGAAACAAAACCACTTTTGCAGTCTTGTGAATATTTTTCCCTGGAATTCTGACCTTCCTCATTCTCTATCAAACACATTTATCATCCCATGGTACAGTTCAATGATTGGTGCATCATTAGGAGAAGCAAAAAAAGAAAAAAAAGACATACCATTTGCATCTGTAGCCACAGCAGCTTCATCTGACTAAAAATTAAACTCTTAATCTACTCGATCTCTTTCTCTATTGTCACAAATCTCTCAAGAACTTCTGATGTGCTAACAAATCTCACAAATCTGTTAAAAAATATAAATGATCAACAAATTCACAACAAAGGCTGATTAAAGAAAAAAAAAAAAACAAATTGCGATTAAATTTTAGTGATTGCAGTCAATCTAAAATTCAAATCTATAACTTTGTTCTTGTAAATATCTTCCCTTTCTTTGCATAAATAGTAAAAGGCCATTCTATGCAAATGTGACTCCAAAGCATACATAACATACATAACATACATACCTTATATAATATTACCATGAAACTTTTAACAAAACATCTTAATACCTGGTAAGCCAACTACCTCGTATGACACAGAACAAGTGCAACAACTTGCCCTGGAGTAGGATCGATTTGCTGCAGCGTTGAGAGAACAAAAACTGCAGTCTTATCCATCCCAGATTTAGCTTGGCAAATGACATCCATGCCCAGTATAGCTTGTGGAATGCACTAATGTTGCACTGGTGAAGAACCAAAGAAAATTGTATCGAAGGAACCCTTGGTGAGTAAAATATAACTTTCCGATCCTCTTAATTGAAACTTTTAACAAAACCACAATACTGCTCCAAAATCAATAGGTTATAGTGCTGCATAATATTACCTGCCAAAAAAAAACATTAGCCAAGATATCAGATAAAGGGCCTTTGCCAACAACCAAAAGCAACATAGTCCCATAATAAAAATAGTTAATAGACAAACAAGACAAACAAGGAAAACAAGTACATATGGCAGCGTTGGATCTAAAGGCACAGTCAAACTATTAACAAAAAAAAGGGAGATAAGTGATTCGGTAATTTGCCTTCAGAAGGATGCTCAAAGCCAGAGTCCACAATAGCATGAAGAAGTTCTGGCTTCAAAAGGAAATCCCTGAATCCTGAGCTATGTATTCCGACATATCCCCTAAAATAAAGTAAAATAAAATAAGCAGAAAAATCAAAACTTTGTTACAACTTGTACCAACCCTTTTGCAATAAATTCTTATTAGAAAAGGAAAGAAGCTAATAACAACTATTACAATTAATAAAAAATTTCCAACTTACTTCCTGGCGGCCTCGCCATTAACTTTGCCTGTGGCAGAGTCGGGAGCTTTTTCTTCTTCTTCTTCGTAGTCAAGAAGCTCTTCCTCATAGGCATCATTGTCCCTTGTTTCTCCCATTTTCTAAAACATACATCACCCACAAATTCAGGGTTAGAACTTCCACAATCCAATCGAACACCAAGCAAGAAACGCAAATTAGGACTTTTGAAAATAGATCTTAGAGAAGCCAAAAAAACACTCTCAGAATCCAACCAGAACCCAGAAACGCAAAATTAGGGTTTTGAAAAGACCAACGAGAAACCAAAGAAACTAGGGTTTTGACCGACGAAATTCCATACATAGAACCGAGATTTTGGATTTTACCTGTGAGAACTCGACGAGCGAAGAAGATGAGATTTCTAGGGTTAGGGTTTGTAGAGTCTGCAAAGGAAAAAGGTTAGACCTGAAAAAAAAAAAAAAAAGATCTTGAAACTGTCAAGTTCTGGAGAGTATGAAGAGAGAGAAGGATAGGGTTTGGAGCGATTGGAGAGGGACGAATGTAAACAGGAAGACTTATTGTACTACCAAAATTACCCCTGTTGTTTTTGATTAATTACAATGATGCTGTCTGCACACTGCACCCCCTCCCCTGCTCGTTTGGACTTAATGATAATTGGAATCTGCATTCTCACCAGATGAGGCCCTTACATAACATACATACCTTATATAACATTACCATGAAAAACAGGCTAGCTTATAATCCTTGCTTTTTCTGCCACAATTTGCAAACCTACCTTCATTTGCCAATTGTTTAGTTTCAGGGATTTTGAGAACACCGCTCTCTATCAAAGGCTGCAACTCTTCTTCTGCCAATTCATGGACCTTGGAATCTGAAGTTTCCCAGAATGCACAAAGCACCTTGGAACTGCAATAAGTGCACAAGGGCCCATGTTGTAACATCAAAGATTAAATCATTGTTTGTATTTTACATACATTATAATTGCAAGGACAAAATAAATGAGCCTAACCTGTGACCCTGGGCCCATGATTCACACTTCCCTTCAAAGGCTTTCTTCCATAATGTTGA